AGTCTGATCATTGACAGTGTAGTCTAGCACGTACCTAAAATGTAATTAGTTCTTTTGTTTAATATACCTTTAGAAAGCTCTTGGCTGTTCTCCGGCACAACTGGTAATACTCTAGGAAAGTTATCTTTTCCCATTTGTTGTTGTTCTTGCTGGCAAGTGCATGCTTGTTTCCATATTTTTCAACTGAGGATTTAAACAACTGGTGAACTGTGTTGGGTTCCTCTGTACATCCTTCTTCTATTCTCAGCTTGACTGAACCTCTAGCATCAGTGGTCCAAAGAGAATGGGCTGGAGCAAGAGGTGTGCTGGAAAATGCCTGACTTACATCTATTTGTCCTGCGATAAGAAAAAAAATCATATCTGAAATGCAAATGAAATCACTGGGCACTAAAAGTCTTCTTATTCAGTGCTCATAACTCACCTATAAAGGTGAGCTCTTCACTATCTGTCTGCGTGTGTTCCGTAGTCTTCTGAGCTGGCAACATCACACTGAAACACACAGAGGAAACACGGGCTACAAGCACACTCGCACGCACTCCACCTCAAATTCTGGCAGGGGTTTCATTTTAGCTTTGTTGATCCAACACAATGCCAGGGCTTTGCCACAGGAAAAGCCCCTTGCTTTGTTTGTCAAAAAAAACAACAACTGTCTGCTCCCGCTCGTCAATATTGTTGTCATGGTAGATGGGGAGGAGCCATTGCAAATCAATATAAAGACTGATCCAAACATTGATCACATTTCTCTCCCAATTGAGATGACAATGTATTCAAAGGACAAAAATAATCAAAATCAATTCAAATTAACACATCTGGATGATTCTGGAAAAGCACATCCTTGATCACCATAATAAAAACACACATGAGTAAAATCTTTTTGAGGAATTGGGACTTGTGGACTCAGTGCCAAGGTTGGGTGCAAAACTATATTATAATATGAGGAACATTCATTCAATAACTCTGGCAGAAGTGACTAAGTGGTTAAACCATCATCACATTTATGCACCGTGCATGCATGCTGGTGAAAGTATTAGAAGCTATCTTACAGTTAAACTGTTAAAAAAAAGGTGAAGGCAGGTGAAAGAAACCAAAAAACAGTTCATCTTAAGTTGCTTACCTATCCTCAAGTTGATGATCGACCTTCTTTTCCATTCTGAACTTGCTCAAAAATGCTGCTTTCAAAACTTGGACAAACGTGATTTATGGGAATATACTGGATTAAGAAAATAAAAAAACACCAAACAAACTTGCAGTTCAGCAAGCCTTCCCAAGTCGCTAAAGGTTGTGAAACAAACAGGAAAGACCATGTGGGTAGTGCATTGGAATCAGTTGCTCAAGAACATGTCCTGAATTCAAATCACCTTCGCTTTTCACATGTAAAACAGCCTTTCCCAATTCACACAATGACACGTTCAAAACTTAATCACACCACTCTGCATTTAATTTTAATCAAGCTTAATGCACATGAGTTACAGGGTAAAACAGGCTTTAGCACTCCTAAAAATGTAATAAAATGTGGAATTTAGGAGCACCTAATCTGCAATAAATCTGTCAATAATAAACAACAAGTATACACATTTGTAGCTCACATAACAAATATTGCAGTTATTTGGGATGGAGTATTGTTTCTGTTTTGCCAGACGTGTGGGTGTAATTAAAGAATATTCTAGAGAAGGTTATATAACATTTACAAAGCAGGCTGTATCTTATTAGAGATCATACATGCTATATTTGTTCCTTTTTTTCTTGCCCTTGCCCCACTGGACTCATAGAGACATCTAAGGCAACGTAACCATTCGAAAAAGTAGGTCACGCTATATAAGAAGGAGATCTAGTAACCTCCACCCCTCCCTCGTCCCCCTACTCGGGTCCCTTCTAGACTCCTCTCTCTCCGCCAACGAAACATCCGGTCCCGCTTCTCGAAGCTCTCCAGAAAGTTCTGCACTGCAAAGCGGCTATAAGTACCTCCCACTTTCGCTCCGCACTCTCACAGCAAAGGCGACTCAAAGCTTGGTAAGGCAGCATCTGGAAAGTAAGGCATAAAGACTTCAATTTAGAATAATAATTATCATTGTCACGAAGAAATACCAGCAGTTTCATTTAAGGTTGACTATAGCTAAGGCGAATATGGGCGACATCCGTGTGTCTTTTAATGCCGGTTGTATTGCTTTCCCGTAACGTGTGAGGCATACTGAAATTTAGCAGTCCGTTATCGCTGGGTTTAACGAGATAAAACAGAGGTTAGCCCCTGTTTTGCAGCTAGCGTGCGGTTTGCTATTTGTTTAATATCAGCTGTCAGTGTGTTTCAAGCTGTAACCTTGTGTGTAACGTGTTCGTGGTGTGTGTTATTTCCTCTTTAGGACAGTCACCATGGTTCACGAAACCGGCTACTACGATCTTCTGGGTGTCGAACCCAATGCTTCACAGGATGAAATCAAAAAAGCCTACCGAAAACTTGCTTTGAAATATCATCCTGACAAGAATCCAAACGAAGGAGAGAAGGTGAGTTTTAAACGTGTTTTATTGTAGCAGTTCAGCCGTTTACGTGCTACTGTTAAAGCCGCTTCTAATTTTAAACCGGCTACTTTAAAGACCAGTTGGAACTTTCTGGAATGATCTATGCGCAGCTGACTGCGTGTGGCTACAGGAAGACCTGCACGCTTGAACTGACTTGATGTTTTTTGCTACTGTGCGAAAGTAATGTTTAACATTAAATGTGCTGTTATTGTATTCTATTTTATTCCTCATTTATGTGACTTTTTTAAGTAGCATTGTCACAACACAAGTCGTACGTTAAGTAAGCCTAATAAAGGATCGAAGCAAATAAACTAACACAAGTTATAATCGACTTACTATGACCTGGATGACTGAAAATCTACACAAACTCAAGTTATAGCTTTAGTGGAGTCACTCATTCTCGCTTTTAAAAGTAATTCAATTATTTGTTTTGTATTTGCAGTTCAAGCACATTTCTCAAGCATATGAGGTGCTGTCAGATCCAAAGAAGAGAGACTTGTATGACCAAGGAGGGGAACAAGCCATCAAAGAAGGAGGGATGGGTGGCGGAGGTTCTCCGATGGATATTTTCAATATGTTCTTTGGAGGTGGAGGACGAATGCAGAGGGAGAGAAAAGGTGAGGTGGCTCATTGAGTTTTCAAGCTAGATGCAGTTTGAAGTGATGTGTATTCCTGGCATTTATAACATGAATGTTGTGCTTTTTTTTATTTATTTGTCCTTTAGGGAAGAATGTAGTTCATCAGCTTAGTGTCTCACTAGAGGAGATGTACAATGGTTCAACAAGAAAGCTCGGACTCCAGAAGAATGTAATTTGTGAGAAATGTGAAGGTGAGTACCAACTTAATTGGAGAAACAAAAATACCAGTGTTTGGAGTAATAAAGATATTTAATTCCTTTTTTCCTTCTCATCATAGGCTATGGTGGCAAGAAGGGTGCTTTGGAGAAGTGCACAAACTGCAAAGGAAGAGGAGTGCAAGTCAGGGTGCAGCAGGTGGGACCAGGCATGATTCAGCAGATCCAAAGCATGTGTCCAGACTGTCAGGGACAGGGCGAGAAATTTAACTCAAAGGATCGCTGCAGGAACTGCAATGGCCAGAAAGTAGAACGCAAGAAGAAAATCCTTGAAGTTCATATTGACAAAGGTAAAGCTCTCACCTATCTGAGACATTTGTATTATAAAAATGCTTTTCTTGTTGTTTTCAAAAGCAAGTTTAGCTAATGATGCGTCTCTTGTGCAGGTATGAAAGACGGTCAGAAAATTACATTTCATGGAGAAGGTGACCAGGAGCCTGGCCTGGAACCTGGGGATGTCATTATTGTGTTAGATCAGAAGGATCACCCAGTTTTCCAGAGACGGGACAATAACCTAATAATGAGGATGGACATTAAACTTGTCGAGGCACTGTGTGGATTCCGGAATACCTTTCAGACTCTAGACAACAGAACGCTTGTTATCAGCTCACAACCAGGTAAGTGTTTGAATTCAGCTGGCCTTGAGTGCTGGCTTTTCTGGTGACCGATTGTGAACAATGGTAATATAGATTCCTATTTTTTATTTTTATTTTTTTTCCTTCAAATCAACAGGTGGAGTCATTAAGCACAATGACGTCAAATGTGTTATGAATGAGGGCATGCCACTTTACAAAGAACCTTATGAAAGGGGACAGCTTATTATTCAGTTTCAGGTAAGTTGAACATCATTTCAACAGTGTAACACAATTCTGGATTTAAATTGAAGCCACAGGGTGGGAAACGTTTTCAGCTCACTTGAATTCATTTAATCCTGCAGGTGGAGTTCCCAGAGAAAAACTGGCTCCCAGAACATCTGATGTTCCAGCTGGAAAGACTTCTTCCGCCCAGAGAGGATGTGATGGTCACAGATGACATGGAGGAGGTAGAACTAAGCGAGGCCGATTTGCAGTCACAACAGAAACACTACAGTGGTGAAGCTTACGAGGAAGACGATGACAATCCCAGAGGCGGCGTCCAATGTCAGACACAGTGATTGTAGTCAAAGTCTATATGTAGAGCATGTGGGTTTTGTTTTGCAAAAGGAAAGGTTTAACCCATGCCTTTGGTCCCTTTCACACTGTAAATTTGTGACATCACATTTAAAACTGTTGCCAATCCCTTTTTTTTTTTTTTTTTTTTTTTTTTTATTAAACTCGGGACACAAATATGCAAGTGGAGAAGGGTGCACCTAAAGTTGTCAGTGGTTTGTTTGTTTTTGTGCATGTTATGTTTTTTTTATTATTAAACTCGGGACACAAATATGCAAGTGGAGAAGGGTGCACCTAAAGTTGTCAGTGGTTTGTTTGTTTTTGTGCATGTTATGTTCTATTTAAGTGTGTATTTTGTTTGTTTTCTGAAATTTACAGTACAAATTTCTTCATATGAACCTAAATGATGACTTGTATGCTTTCTGTGAAGGTGAAATTCAAGTCAAATGCTTTTTTTGTACAATAAATACCCAGAATGCTTAAACTTTTTTATTGCTGTCTTTATTTACTGAGATTTGCGTATTAAATTCTGCCAGTAATTTTTTTGTCTAAAAGTTAAAATTTGTATGATAACTAGTCATTGGACACCATTTAATCAATGGGAAGATTTATAAAAAGGCACTGCTTAAATTCAGTCATTACGTTTCCAATGTCCATCTAATGTTGCTTCCTCCTAAAAGAGCAACCTGTGGAACAAAAAACATAATTACTTCATCTGTTTTCACATCTCATTTATGCGCAGTTCAAAGGCCCCAGTATACCTGCCACTGGTTGCATTGCACAGCAGTGGTAATGCATTACTGTTGCATCTAATTATGCTTACTGTAACAGCAGGCATCTGCTGCAGTATAGTGAGCCCACAGTATAACTACCTGATAACACCTCCACATCAGAGCTGATATGGAAACCAAAAAAGTATGACATATAAGACTATTCTTCTTTCAAAGATTCTTTTTTCCCCGTAATGTTTTTCAAATTGTTGCAATATCTCTGAATCTGAGCTCCTTTACTGTTATTAAAACATCAGTAAAAACCACCACAATTGTGCACTAGTCTTCAACCCGGCTGCAGGGGTGATGACAATATTCCAGATTACAAAAAGCACCACTGATAGAAATGGTGGCTTTGTTGTACAGTACGTTTTGCCAGGTGCCACACAGCAGGTATAATGGTGCCCATACACTTACGATCAAGTATTTACATCTCTATTGGTACAGAATGTTCTGGATCTTTTACCCTCTGTTAGTCTGGCCTTTCCTCCTTTGGGCTGGCACAGCACTGTTGAGCATCCCACACAAAGTACCACAGTCTGTGCATGACTGAACACAGTGGTGATCTTGTAGCAGCCTGCAAAGAAATGGTGTTAAATATTTACTGTTACATTTCTGTGATTGCCATATATGTAAAACGTGATTAAAAGACAGCCATGGAACGTGTGAATAAGAAATGGCTTAAAATCACAGCAGCTGCATAACTTATTACTCTTCTATGAGGACTTGGGAGTACATGTGTATTTTCAACTAAATTAGATCCAATCAAATACTGTATTTGTGTGGGACACATTGCTAACTGTAAAGCAGATTTTATGTGAGCTTCCCAACTCCCTTTTTAAGTATATACATCTAGAATAAAATTACTTAATCTTTTTAATCACAAGTGTTCTCCTTCTTACCCCAATAACCTTTAAAACTATTATTTCAGTTGCCGCTCTGCATAGTTATCAATTGCCTTTCAGTGCAAATGAATCATCAACTGGCTCATGACATTTTGAGCTATAGTCAAAAACAAAAAACAAATACTGAGAGTCGTCAGTCACCAGTTTCACTGGGTTTTTAGAGGTTTCTGAGCCTTTCCTTTTATCTCTGTCAATTTCACAAAAATCTGCTTAGCTTGTGTTTTTTGGTGACTTGCAATTTTCTACCATGGCCGTAGTAGGCAGCAAAAGACTGTAGCATATAAACCTGCAGGAGTGTGCTACTTTTCTTCCCAGTTGCTTTTGAAAACTAGATCCAATCAAAATGTGAGACACTATGTCCATATGTAGGATCAAAGGAAATAATAAAATGCTGTTAAGACCCACATAAAGAGGGACATCTGGTGACCATATAGTATAAACTTTATTGTATACCTGGGCATTTCACGTCCATAAAGTAGGAGTTGGGACTCTGAACAAGTCTTTTCTTTTTATGTTGTCGTCTCTCATGGTCAAGTGACGGGTGGAGAAGGTCTCTGGCCAACTGAAATGAAGGGAAAGGTCCAGTCAAATAAGTGGGATAAACCGTGTTTTAACTTTTTAGCTCACTTTGGTAAACCTTCTTTTAAACACTAACTATTGCATTTACATCTTAAGTAAGCACCACAGTTGTTCGTGTGTACTACAGGTGATTCGTTAAACGCAAAAAATGCAGTCGTGAAAGTTTTCAGGCGATGACTACTTTTTGGTCCGACATGACTACGTTATAAGTTACATCACACAACTACTAGTTACATACCACGGTGTTTCAGCAAGTAGTCGCCACCCGTCGTCAGCTATTGTTAGCTAGCTAACCCCCACTCCATGTGTTGCTGCTGCAACAATGTCAACAACACAACTGCGAGGTTTCACGGTGTAAACACGGTAGGACATCGTCTCTGAAATGCACATATGGACCTACCATGTTGAAAAAAGCATACAAATTAATACGAAACTTTGTAACTTACAGGCATTTTCGCTGTGCAAATCTCTGCGCATATGTGCGCCGATTAAACAGATAGCATCTCAGAGCAGAGCAGCGGGGAATGACTCGCAATCATACAGTGTGCTGAAAATGGTGAAGAGCATGTAGAAAAATAAAATAAATAAAAAACAGAAAAAATAAAACTTGATTAGAGGTTTCCAAATATATTATATATATTTTATTTCCCCCCAAAATATATAATATTTTAGTATACTAAACATTTATAATATCTTCGTATTAGGGTTATCACTTAAAAAAATAAAATTATATATACACTAGTCAAAGGTTTGGGCACACCTTCCCATTTATTTATTTTTTTCTTTATTTTCATTATGAAGATTGTAGATTCTCACTGAAGGCATCAAAACTATGAATGTATTGAACAATTATGTATTGAACAAAAAGTGTTAAATAATTCATATTTTTATATTTTAGATTGTTCAAAATAGCCATCGGTTGCTTTGATTACTGCTTTGCATACTATTTGCATTCTCTGAGCTTCATGAGGTAGTCACCTGAAATGGTTGTCCAACGAGATGTTGAGCACTTGTTGGCCCTTTTGCCTTCTCTCATCCCAAACCATCTCAGTTGGGTTTAGGTCAGGTGAAAAGTGTGGAGGCCAGGCCATGTGGCCCAGCACTCCATCACTCTCCTTCTTGGTCAAATAGCCCTTAGACAGCCTGGGGGTGTGTTTGGGGTCATTGTCCTGTTGAAAAAGAAATGATGGTCCAACTAAATGCAATCTGGATGGGATAGCATGTCACTGCAGGATGCTGCGGTAACCATGTCAGTTCAGTGTGCCTTCAGTTTTGAATAAATACCCAACAGTAGCACCCCCACACCATCGCACCTCTTCCTCTGTGCTTCATGGTGGGAATCATGCATGTAGAGACCATCAGTTCACCTCAGTTGGGATATGTAAACCCAGCGGACAGCAATATCAGGAAGAAGGCGCACAAGAAATCAGAAGTACCAGGGGCATTAGGAGCATTTCCAAAACTGGAAGTCTGTATCCAGAAGTGATGGTTAAAATCTAATTGTCCCTTTAAACTACAAAGCCCCACAATGCCAAGCGGGAACTGACGTCACATTTCTCGGCACCGGGCTGTCGCTAGTCTGCCCGGGTCTGCAACAGACAGCTGAGGGGTTTCCAGACGGGGGATCCCAGCTTCATTGCGGCCTTATAATATCGAAACGCAGAAGTCTGAAGTTTATTTCAATGGCGAAAACGTACGATTATCTCTTTAAACTCTTGCTTATCGGAGACAGCGGAGTCGGCAAGACATGTCTGCTGTTCAGATTCAGCGAGGACTCCTTCAATACCACCTTCATATCTACAATAGGTGAGTATTCTGCTGACGCCCCCCAAGGATAAATCTAATAAAACGAATGCCGGCATCCACATAGTCCAGCGTTTTACTGCATTGATCTGTCAGTAATAGAAGCTAGTGAATTTTTTCATGAAAGTAAGGAGAAGGACAAACGACCTAAAAGGGAAATAACTGCATATGAACCAGACAATAGGAGTGTGAGACTAATGGATAATGCTATTCTGTCCTTGAAGACTCGGATGCCCTAGCAGGGTTAAATACAGAATGAAATCAAAGCCACAGTCAAGACTTTTGACTTCTGTTACACTGTAGCCTTTATGCTGAAAACAGTATTGTGATAATTATGTTATAAACCTGATCGGCGCTGCAAATTTACACTGCAGCTATTTCTGCTTATTCCTCAAAATATGTTCCTCTAAAACGTGACACGAGATCACATTTTACCATTAATTGCAGAAATGCCTGGTTTCCTGTGTATGTGAGGCATGTGACAAACTGGATAGTGTAAGGTAACCGATTAAGCTTACGTGGCTCTTACTTGCTTTAATACAGGAATAGACTTCAAAATCAGGACAATAGAGCTGGATGGAAAGAGAGTCAAACTTCAGATATGGTATGTGTAATTTGACTGAGCTTTTTCCCTTTTTTTATTGGAAAGTCTGACTGACCTGCACTTTAACCTGCTGCCTGTGTTGTTGATTTGATGTGTAATTAGGGATACTGCGGGCCAGGAGAGGTTTCGCACCATCACTACAGCATACTATAGAGGAGCAATGGTTAGCTTTTTATTTCTCACCATGTTGCTATATATCTACCTTACCCTTGCACGTCGGGGTTCATAAATTGTTATTATTATTATTTTCCTTCCCAGGGTATCATGCTGGTCTATGACATCTGCAATGAGAAGTCCTTTGAGAACATAAAAAACTGGATTAGAAATATTGAAGAAGTGAGTTCCAAATTTAGTTATATTATTAGTATTTTTTTGCAATTTAAATTCTGTGATTGTTGATTATAAGTAAATTATAGTTGTTTTTAATACTCATAGTATCATACTTTAAATAACCATAAATAATGAGTCTTATTTAATTCTGCCAGCATGCCTCGTCTGATGTGGAGAAGATGATCCTGGGAAACAAATGCGACATGACTGACAGGAGACAGGTGTCTAAAGACAGAGGTGAAAAAGTGAGTCTGAAGCTAGTCATTACCACAAAGCAAGCATCAAGCTAATTCAGTTGAAGTTATTGCAATTTTCAGCGTTTGGCATAAATATAAATCTGTGTTTTTATTTCACCTAGCTGGCCATTGATTATGGAGTTAAATTCTTGGAAACCAGTGCAAAGTCTGGCTTGAATGTTGAAGAGGTAAGCTGGATGTTTTAGCCTTTACCATAAAGCATGACTTACACACAGTATATGTATGTGTAATATTTCTTTTTGTCTTTTATGTCACACAAGGCTTTTTATACCATGGGAAGAGACATACTGCATAATCTGAGCTCAAAGTCGGTAAGTTGAAGAAAGTTTCATTAATTAGTCGCTATCCCGTACTTTGTGTCACAGTCTGTATTTACATTTCTTCACCGTCAACTCTTTTCTTGTAGACTGACAACAGTGCTGGAGGATCAGGCAAACCGGTCAAGATCACAGAGAAAAAGTCGAAGAGAATTAAATTCTTCAAGTGCTCACTCCTCTAAGCTGCTCACGTATGTGGCGTGACATTGGTGTTTTGGAGGGTTTCCCGCCTTTTGGCCTTCCTCGCTGCGGAGGCGGCCGTGGTCATATAATCATGGGGCCTTATTGCCAGCTGGACTTACAGGTTCAGGGGAGGCTGAGATGCTACCCTGATCTGCTGACCAGACGAGGATCAATGACGAACGAGGCTTTATATGTGTTCATGCAAAAAGACTGATGCATGAATATCAGCAGTGGTTTGTAGCTCACCCTGCAGTGCCTGCTGACTGTGGACATGTCTGTAGGATGTCTTAAAAAATATCTGTTACAAATATTGGTCTCATAAATGGTAAATGAAGTATTTCATACAACGTAGCATCATTTTATACGCCCTACCTATTGTTACATTTACTATGACGATGCTGTAAGATAATCATATGGAGTTTCAGAATTGGTTGTAATTGTGTGAATTCATATATGTTAAGATTGTGGTATCCAGTGTTAATGCCATCATTTCTAATTGCACATGTGTGCCTATTTAAAGTCACAGTATTGCAATAGAAAGACAAAAATATGTAAAGAAAAAATAGCAACAACAAAAGAAAAAACAACCTACTGTTTTTTTACTTATTTTTAATAGAACCTTTATTTGTACAGGGTTCTGTGTCAAAACAAAGCTGTGAAAGAGTTTGTTTCTTGGAAGCTTGTACTTAATACATATTGTTACGCAGTTGTCAGTATTTGCATGAAAGCTGTAGGGAGACCTCAGACTATTAAGCACACAGTATCTGAAATAGAAAATGTTTACAGACAGTATTTGAAAAATGTTGAGCATATATAGGAAGTGAAAGTTTTTGCTGTTCACATATTTTGTGTGTAATCACAAGTAGCAGTTGTGTTCTTGCTTTTATTTCCTCTTGAGATTGTAGACACAGAGCACTTTCCCTTCACGCGTCCAATATGAAAACACAACGACTGGAGAAAGCTGTAATGTGAATGATAGTCCTTGTAAACTACTGTATGTTACATCAGTGAAGAGTAAAAATGGAAAAGAAAGTGGATCTTTATGGGAATGTTGATTTTTTTTTTACACAACTACACTGCATGGTTGAAAATGTTAAAAAAAAAAGAAAAAAAGAAAGAAACTCTGGTAAAGCTTTTTTTCCCCCATCATTGTCATTTTGTTTGTATCTTTGTATCAGAAACTCACTTAGTAATGATTTCTGATGGCAGGCTACATGTCCACTACTTTAATCATAGCTTTCTGTTTATCTTCTTGCTATTTTTTCCACTTCATGCTGGTTTATTTTCTCTTTTTAAGGCTCTCATTTTTACTCCTGGACATCGTCTTCCTTCTTCCCTGCATCTGATTTTGTTTCCTCATCTGCCTGTCCAAAAGTTGACACCTTTCTGCTTTCGTTAAGGACTCTCTCGCTGCTAGATGCAGCTAGCTGCTTGCTAACCATCATGGACTTGGCTCTCCTGTCGCTTGCGTTCCAAGTCTGTGATCTGTGAGAGGGTAAATATTTTTCATCAGCAGCTGTCAGATACTCTGTGGTGTTTGAGAGGTTTCTCTTGATCGTTTTTGGATCCTCGGGAGTTTCTGTTCCTGGAAGAGTCCTCGTACTTTCTGTAGGAATTGCCTCAGTCTGAGTTTGATATTGCTGGGTGAGTGTTCTGACTGTTGATACTTTAGGCATTTGACCCAAAGTGGTAGGATGCACCTGATACGCTAAATTTGATGGCCACTGATTTGGAGTTTTATTAATGTGCTCTACCAGTGACCTGTACTCTGCAGTTTGCATCATATCATCACCAGCCTCAGCTGGAGTGTAGAGGATGCTGCTCATAGCCCTCTTCTTAGTGATGGGAGAAGTCTGGCTTTGGTTTTCAGTAGGGATGTACCTCAGAGATTTAGTCCTCTTTGGCGAAGAGGAGTTTCCTAGCAGACTCTGGACTTTGTCTATGGGCTCAGGAGCTTTCTGTGGTTCATCAGGGGGGTTCATAATGATGGTGCTCATAGACCTCCTCTTTGTCAAAGGAGAAATGAATTGGTCTTCAATTGGATAGTGTTTCAACGATTTTGTCCTTTTTGGAGGGGACAAAGGCCTCAGTCTGTTTTTGTCTGGTAGTCTGTCTAGAAACATCGTGCTGCCTTGTTTTATGTTTGTTATTGTTTCTTGACTTGATGTTGCAGAAGAGGGCCTTTGTTCACACGGAGATATGAGAATATCTACAACTGAGCTTGGTGGAGGTCTCTCGAAACCTCCGGACTCTGAGCTCTGACCACCTTCCTTGGTGTTGAGAGTGCACATACTTGAGGCTTGCCGTAGACTCCGCTGTCTTTCTAGGCCGGTTTTTGTTGTGTCTTCTGTGTCCTTCTGCCTGGATGCAAACTCTTCCATATCCATGTGGAAGCGGTAAAGACTGTAACCGTCAGCACTGTTAATACTGCCTTGGCGAAGGAGATTGGAAGGGTCACACACCGATGAGTTTCGCGAATAGGTTCGAGTCAGCTCTAACCTGTCCACACCTGCAAGCTTCTCAAGGGCAGTTGCCATACGTCCATGGAGCTCCTCCAGCTGGGCCAGACGCAGATCCACCGTCTGCAGGGAGGCCTTCATCGTGTTCTCCCTCTCATTTACCTCTTCCAGACGCATTGACATATTCTCAACTCTGCCAAGAAGAGTTGAGAGAAAAAGAGTGTTTATGGAAACAGGAACCAATTTGAAATATTTGAACTACTTTTAAAAGGATAGTGATGTACCTCTCTGAAGTAACCTTGATGCGTTCGTCACTGGAAGACTGTTGCTCGTCCTCTTTCTCTCTGAAATATTCCTCGACACACTGTTCTTCAAACTCGTACAGGAATTTTAGCTCCTCTGGATTCAGCCTGAGCTCTGAAGAAAACACATGACAGCAATTTTTGTTAAAAAAATCAGTTCCAGCAGTTTCTTCATGTTTATAGGCTACAGAATCATGAAATTAATATTTTGATGTGGTTTAAACGCTTAGTGTGTATTATTAACCACTGAAAAACTGCATAAACTCTTTACCCTCATAAAGATGGCATTTGAAAACCTCACCTGTATCCTTAGTGATGAATTTTAACACCACAGTGTATATCAATAAAGATGTGGTTTGTCGACCATTAGAATAGTTTCTGTTTTTTATAGGTATTTGCATAGACAGAGACCATCCCCACTAACTTCTGATGCACACACACATACATTTTGTTCTACAAGCACGCCTGAAATTTGATAGAAACGGCTCAATTTAGAAGGCAGTTTCAAAGGATACTCCTAGGAGGCTTTCAAGGGGTAAAGAGTTAATTGCACTTAAGTATTAAGTATAATGATAAAATTGTTTTGGTTTAAAAAAGGAGACTAACTGAGGCCACGGTCTTTCTCATCTAGCTCTCCCTCCTGTTTCTTCCTGGCACATCGCTTGAACATCCTGTTGAAGAGGATATAGAGGTGGCTGAGGATGATGAGAGGTGGCGGTAAAATGGGACGGTCATGGAAAGTCATGATCAGCTGATATCTCTGGAACTTCCACACTTGGTTGGAAATTGACTTGACTTCAAAGAAGGTGTTGCTGTGGGACAGGACATGCAGACCAGTGAGTAAAAACTGTAAGAGGAGATATTTTCTTAGAAACAATAGAACAAGTAGACATTGGAAGTATAGTTACTTGAAGACCGCAATGAGCAAGTTGACCAGAAGAATGTTTGCTACGAGAAGGTAACAGGCCATAATGGCAGGTGTGAGCCAGGCACCGGGGATACATGGGGGGAGTTTCTTCCCATCCTCATCATATAAATGTTCACCACATGGAGCTGCAAGAATGGGAGGTTAAAGTTATACATTTATATAGACTTTAATGTAAATAATTAGAGTACCATTCATGATCACTTACGGTTGATTTCCATTGCATAGACTTGGAAAAATCCCCCAAAACCACAGTTCCGCAGGGAAATGGAGAAAGCGTTAAAATCAATAGACATAAGACTTTTATGTCATATTTCTGTCAAGGTCAAGCTGTTTTGCTTTAAAGGATGGACTGGTCTTATCAAATTGTTCATTGCACTTTTAAAAGTACTCAAACATACCTAGTTGCATACTTTATATCCTTGACATATTTTACATTTTTACATTTTTTTTATACAACCTTGTTCATAAAATTAAAAATGAATGAAGACAAACATCTGAATTTCAGTATGAATTAGACCACATGTTTAACAGCACCTTCCAGAAAAGGTTCAATACCATCTTCAATATCATTTCTAATTGAGGCTTTTTAAATAGTTGCTTGTTGCCTTCACCTTGACAGAAGAAACATTAACAGGAGAAGAAAAACTTGGAGGCAGATGATCATGACAGAGGAGATGACATACAGGCATCTATTCTGCTCTTAAGCAGTGAAACATTGTGTTGTACTGAATGTATGTATTGTAGTAAGTGCTATTCCAAATGTGCCAGCAGAGGGAGACAGAGTATGTCAAAGTGTGTGACATTGCTAAGACAGATTTTAAAACAGAGAAATAATGCAGTACTGATCATCTGCCCAGAATCAGGAAACAGAATCTTACTATGAATTCTAGTCTTACGGTCTATCGAGTCTGCAAAAACCTCCCCATAGATCATCCAATAAGGCATGTAGAAAATGTTTCTGGCCAGGCGCCATGTTGGCTCCTCATCTGGATGAAGTATGGCTTGTCGAGCCACTCCGAAGCTCATAAGCACCACCAGCATGATCACCACAAAGTACATCATATCAATCATCTGAAAGGAATCAAACAAAGAGAACATGCAAGCTCAGTGTGTTCTCTTTCTTTTTGTGTGTGTGCATGCCATCTGTGATTCGTTGAACTATTACCATTTTCCCTATCATCATCACATAAGGTCCCAGGTATTTGTTGACTCCAAAGATGTCCAATACACGAATGTACCAGAAGATGATGTCTATACAGTAGATAACCCTGCCGTAGCCCATGTACGGTTCAGGCTGTAGCCGTAGCATTAGCCCCAGAAGGAACGTGGATATGGCAGCCAGGTCTGTGATGTTCCAGTACTCCTCCATCCACACACTTATCTTTTGTTTCAGCTTCCCTGGTTCTGACATCAGAATCTAGACACCAGGATTAGGAGATCACACAGTATTCATTACAAGCCCATAAAACCGCTTGGAATTTAAGATATTCCGACTCTGTAAAGGCTCATACCTGTCGGACTTTTTCAGTGCCAAGTGTGAGGATGTATGCTATGACCATCCACTCTTGTATAGATGGCCATCGCTCCATTTTCACCAGGATAATGTAGTTGTACAGCATCAGATAGCCCAGATAGGAGATCTGTCAAAACAATAAGGTCATAAAGCTGTTTGTTGTTGTTGGCGGTCATTTTTGAAATGCATGCTTCACGCATCAGAAGGGAACTTACTGTGTTAAACCAGAATTTGGTGAAAGGTGCATTATAAAACTCAAAGAATCTTTTGCCAACTGGGATTTTATGGATTTTGGTGCTATCCTCTTCTTCGTCTCCTTTTCGGGAAGTTGCATCAGTGTTGGCATCCTGCAGCATCACAGCAAACAGCAAGCTTACAATCATTCACCCTTAAATTAGGCATATGTCTAATAAAAAAAAAAAGTATGAACAAGGACCTTGCTGGATTTTGTGTCATCATCTTTGTCCTTTCCCTCTTCTTTGCGTGCAGGTGCCTGATAAGAGGCATCGTCTCCAAGGCGGAAGTCCAACAGCAGAATCAGAGGAGGGAAGATGATTCCCAGAATAACCTGAGTGAGATAATCATTTTTCAAGTATTTCCGCTAATAACATTCTTCTTGTAAATATTATTGTTTTAGAATTTTTTTAAGTTAACCTTCAGGCCCGGGCTTTTTCCAATCCTCAAGCAGCCCATCCACATATCAGTGAGCAACATCTGGCTGCAGGTGTGAGCGATGAAGTCACGTTGCTTAGCAGCCACAGCCAGCTTCAGACAGGTGGAGTTACTCCAGTTAACCAGCTCATATGTTAGGAGTTTCATGGCCACCTGTTCATCGTGCTTGTAGGACTGGTCCAATAATTCGTAGGCCAGTTGTCCAAATTCTCTGTGAGAGGGACACAACAACAATTATTTCTATATAGCACTTATCAAAGTAGTTTAAAGCAAGTAGAAAAAGACATACATCGTTACAGAAAGTATAAAAAGCATTCTGCATCACTCACTTGGAGTTGTTTTCCAGATCTTGGGAGATATCATCCACCAGTTCACTCTCAGAGCACTCATGAGCCATGGCCTTATACAGTTTACAAGCCACTAAAGCCTTTGCCATAGCCTCTTCGCCACGCTGCCAGAGAAATAGTGCCATCTTCTGGCGCTTCATCAGCACCCCCCACAGCATCAGCTCGTGGAAGGGATACTTGAATCGACAGACTTCAGGGTCATCCGCATCAATTTCCACCTCCTCCTCTTTCTTCTTTTTTGCCTTTTTCTTGCCTTTTGACCTAGGTTCATCATCCTAACAAAAACAAAAACAAAACAACAACAGCTAGATAGATTGTGCTTCTGTGTGGGTTTGATTAGTTAAACTATTTTAGTTGTTGCGAAAGAAAACCCTACCTCCATTCCTAGAAGCTTCAGAGCTTTGGGCTGCAAGAAGAGAACAAAGCGTTGCAATTAATGTAAAATGTTACTTAATATTATGACAAACCACTGTCATTTATTTCCTTCCATCCATGCGTACCCTTTTTAGTCCATATAGATTATTGTAGAGGTTACGGAAAGCTTTCCTGGTGTAATTGCTTCTGTAAGCTCCGCCCATGAGGTATTCCAGCACAAGACCAATATCAATCAAAGTAATTTGATAATCTGGAGGAAGGTTTCCCTGCAGAAGTCATATATAAGAAAGCATGACATTAACTGCTTTAAAATAATATTGAACCTGAAATAAACTGAAATGATTCTGCTGAATGTTTATTGTTATGAGCAAAGACTGTCTTACCTTTTTGACATCCCTAACCACAGCGTGCAGGGTATTTGCCGGGCCAAGTTTCTGAAAGATGTGAGAAGAAGAAGGAGAAGTAGGTTCTGTATATTTTTATCCATCAAAACTCTGTGAATTAATATTTTTTTTCCCTTTTGCTGGTGTTACTCAGCATTGTAGAACTCTCACCGTGTTGTATAACTCTTCCAGCCTGGGAATGGTGAGGAAGTGGTGAATGTTGACTCCATTCTCGAGGAGCAGTTTGACAAAGTCCACTCTGTCCAGCACCAGAGCATCCATCATAGCCTGCTCCAGTGAGTTCACCTGATAGAATAGATATATAATATAATTATTTTCTCTATGTTCACTCTGTTGTCTCATATTTCCACATGTAACATTTGCATAAACTTCATTATTCCTACCCAGCGAATCAACTCCAACTTCCTTGGATCTGTTTCCTCTGGTGGTTCAGGTTTTGCCTTTCCCTTCCCTTTCCCCTTCTTGACCCGAGTCTTGCTGCGAGGAGCGCTCGCAGGGCTCTTCTGTTTCTCCTGAGACGGGGCTGCAGTGGTTGTAGTGTTGGCAATAGCACCAGCAGGCTGACCGAGTAATAATAGAAAAAAATATCAAACATCAATTTCTACTATGCCTCTAACTTGATCAAATCAGTTGCCAGTTTTTGTGTTTTGTGATATGACACAATTTATGTGTGCTTATATATGTATTTGCATGTGAGGTGTGTTTTTTTCCAGCAAGAACTGATATCACCAAGCTGAAAACTCTCCTTTGGTCTTCAGTCAATTCTTTTCACAATTTCTTCATCTCATAAATTCACTCTCCGTGGATACCTGCTGATTGCTTTGGGGTTTCACATCACACTTGTGTAGGCTGCTTCTTTCAGCAGATGAATTTGAAGCATTTGCAAATGCGTCATTCTAAACTTTCATCAACTCTGTTTCACACTTTTTTCTTTTTTTTTATTGGATTTTCAAAAACAAATTATTTCCTTCAGTATTGAATCCATGTAGTCACAAAGCACTGATGTGAAATGAATAATTTACACTGTTCAAAAGTGAGGAACACTCACTGGCAAATTGTGTCCGTAAACAAAGATGTGATTTCGTGCGATATCCACTCTGTTCCAGGCCAGAGCCAAACTGAGCTGGTCTGCTGCTGATGCGTTCGTTCCTGATGCAAGAAAAAAGACGGAGACGTGACGAGAGCCGGCATGTGTGGCACGCCGTAAGAGAATCTATTGGAAATATACAAGGAGGCAAGCTTCGAGTGGGATAACCACTGGTGTTGGTGTCTGATGATACCTTTTAACAAAGCAGTAAGGATGGCCATTTCTATATCCTGTTGTCCCTCAGACCCCATTCGAAAAACTGTAATCTATATGTGAGAATAAAAAAGGAAGCGAGGGAATGTTACACTGTAATAATTTAAGTTGCTGATAACAAACTACACAGATGAAATGATTGATGAAAGAATGAATTTTTGCCACTGATTTTCAGCAGGGCTTCTTTCTCCAGCACCCTGTGGCTGACCTTTCGAGCGCAAACAGCCAATTTAATCGTCAGACACGGCGATAGCGCTTGCCTTGTTACAGACTTGACGATATCAAATGAAATTACGCTGACGGGTCTGTCACATGCGCAGCCATGGTGAATGGGATTAGATTGGCATGAATATGTGGCACGGTGCCAGAGTTTTTCCAGCGCCGGCCTCAGGATGCGTTAATAATGAGCAGTCTGCATCAGTATGAACACTGAACACTTTTGTTTCTCTTTCAGGAAGCTGCAGGCTGCCTTGTTTGTGTGCGTGCGGACACTTTTATGATAATAATTTTATAATTCGGTTAAATGTTGCATCCTGGTGTTACATCACAGCAAAATGTAGCCCTCTAAATCAGTGTTTTTATCTGCCCAGGCCAGATGTTCACATTGGATGCACTTAGGATGAAAGGATTATGTGTGGACTAGACAGTGACACTGATTCACCTGTAGGTTAGTTACCGCCCTTTAGTTTAAGATTTATACATAAAGAGCTCAGACGACTTGGTTGTTCTGCCGCTTTGTCTCGATAGAGAATCAAGGAAAACTAAATAGTGTTTAATAAAAAACAGTACAATTCAGTATGATCTTTCAAAAAGCAGTTTAAGTTGCTTATGTGAGTGTTTTGGAGCATTAGGCAGTCTAATACATCTGGGATTGAGAGTTTCAGAGTGAAGTGGTAAACTGATAGCACTCTGGGGACTGAAAGCCTGCGGAGTGGATAGAGCAACCTGGCTGAGGATTAGGGAGCTGGATCCTCTCCTCCATCTGTGTGCTGTATGCTTCCTGTGAGTAGATGAAGTACGAGCTAAGCAGTTGATAGTGTGTGTTGATCTTTTCCTCTCAAATGTATAGATTATAGAGATTATATAGCGTTAGAAACTGTTTATCACATCAATTATGCCTTCGGGAATCTGCAAGAGATGCACAAATGCTGCTGCTACTTAGGCATTCATCTTGAAGAATTACTCTCAGCTCTGTCTTTTTTTTCTTTTTTTCTGCTGAAAACTTTTACCAGGTGTGTGCTGAACTGAGTTGGAGTACATACCACCATTTGACAGCTACGCACTTGCATGCGTCCTTAACAGTTAATAATATCCTACAGTAAAGCTGTAAAAGTCCCGGATTACAATATAATGCACATGACCACAAAAGAAGGTGAAATGACATGCAGGTAGCGGGGATTGTGTTTATTCAGTATGTTAATGGACATACACAAATGAGTGGAGTGGCGATGAATGACGATGGAGACCAGATGCTTCACAACTCAGAAATATTTATTGATTGACACAGACATGTTGCTTTAAAAATACATGGCTTCACTCCTACAATGGTTTCACTCACTTTGTTCCTCTACTTACCAATTCCCTTTTTTTCATGCACTCCATTACCATGAGCAGGATCTGCTGCGACTGGCTTTTGCTATAATTGAATGTCTTCTGAATAGTCACTAAAAGTTGGTCTCTGACATCGTCATTAACCAGGCTGCATGACAGGATAAAAAAAAGCACATTTTTGTTTTGTTTTGTTTTTTTAAGGATTGAGATCAGTGTAAAAGGCAAATCAACTGAAACCTCACCCTCCATCCTCTGAGAACTTGTGCGCAAAGGAAATGATGTCAGAAGCACGGCCGCTGCCATCGCACACCACCACAGGGATGGGGGGCTCATCTCTCAGACTCTCCAGGGCAATGGAGATAACGTTGGGACCTCCCTCTACTATTAAACACACCAGAGGAACCCCCTGACCCAAACCTGGAATGAATAGAGAGAAATAATCATTTGTTCCATCCTTTCTTTTCTCTGTAAAACAGTCTGCGAGTGAAATGATGAAGCTTATGTTGTGCTACGATGCGATGTGTGAGCAGACAAACCAGAGGAAGGAGGAAGTGACGTCAATGGTGACAGCTGAGCATCCCTTTGCTGTCCCTGCCTTATCCAAGTTCCAGGCATAGGATGACAAAGGGAAGCCCACATGTCACAGAGGAGCTCTCCATCCATGTGTCCAACAAGATTTTAGCTCACATATGCACATCACAGTGGACAGATTATTTAAAAATGCAGCGCACTAAACAACTTACGAGTATTGATCTTCTGCAGAGAGATGTGCTTCTCCAGCAGTCTACGGAGTTTGACCTCAGAGCCGTACTTCCCGCAGGTTCCGTTGTCTGTGAGGATGAAGTGGGAATGGCTGTTGTTGAGCACAGCCAGCTTGCTCAGTGGGTTTGCCATCGTCTGATAGGGTCTTGTTACCTGGAAAAAGTTATAAGAAGAGACATTACTTTAAAGGTCTTCTTTTTAAGGAGACCACATGCTGGTGCAAATGTCCTTACATCTTTTCCAATGAGGTCTTCTTTGTTTTCAAGGATCCCCCATGGAGCAATCCCTATAGCACACACCTTTCCACGTGACTTAGAGGAATGGTCCTTTAAGGCATCTCCAACATGGCGGATGACCCCTAAGTTAAAATTGGCAAAATAGAGCAATACAAATAAAGCTCTTTTGTGATGGGGCTGAATTATGGAGCATAATGTGGTAGTATTGCAGTAACCTCACGCAATATCCATCATTTGCAATGAATTTTCCACTAAAGCTCTAATTATAGTGCCTAAACCTGTGACAATGGGTTAGTCAAATCTCCCCCAGGAAATTGCAGAGTAGTGTTATGTAATAACAATTTGGAGCAAAGGTAATCTTCTAATGTCACAAGCTGATTGTTATTAAGTGAACATTAAAAGCATTATACTAAACCATCAGCGTCCTACCTGTGTTAACTCCACCCGTGAAGATCCAGGCTCCAGTTGTGACGGCCGCTTTAATCAGGCCTTTGCCAAACACTTGTTTGAGTTTGGGCTGGAGGTCAAAGTTCTGGAGACCCCCGTGTACAGAGATGAGCAAGGTGGGCAGCTCCAACTGCCAGTCCTTTACCATCAAATGCAGTAGGTTGTCAGGCTTGGTGTCGTATGAAACCCGGATATACTAGAAAAAACAAAGTTGGGAGGTTAATTATCACTTTTTTCTAGCTACGTCGTGTGCGTTAAGGACAGTTTAAAAACTCTAAAGCTCCTTAACACTGCATCGTATCCACTCACTTCTCTGATGTGAGAGAACTAACGGTATAAAAATGTGAGTAAATAATATTCCTTTACAAAGGAAAGGTCCACACACTTTAAGATTCTACTTTAATGATTACATTCTGTTTTTAAGGCACTGCTTGTATCCACAGGATCGAAGATTGAAGCAGAACCTTTTTGACTGAGACTCACCATGGCTTTGTTGATGAATCCTCCTCCTTGGAACTCAATGATGCCAAAGGCGTCCGTCGGGTACGTCCTGGTGTGCTTGATCACACTCCATTTATCCTTTGGGGTATCAATCTGAACCAGCTGGTGGGTTTCCTCTAAGGAGTTGGCACCGGGAGGGATGGCCACGTGCTGTGTTGTCAGCTGACCACAGGCACATCTAGACAGATCAGAGAGTATGAACTGCAACTTGAAGAAGCGAGTAAGACACACCTTGCACACATACTTTCATTGCTCTACCCATTTCTGGCAAATATGTGCCTTGGCAGACAAAGGGCTCACTGCCTGGCTGCTCTAGCAGCCCTGGAGTTTTCGCCGTGACTTACAGACGCATTGTTTAAATCCTGATAAATGCGGGATAGGCTGAAGTCAAGGGTGTCATGATTTCAGAAATTAATTAATTAATAAGAAAAATATTTGTCAGTTAATATAGACCCGAATGCCAGCTTCAAATGCTATTATATTATTTACAGGATATTATTTATATAACCACCACTGTCATAACTCACACAGCCCATTTAACAAGAAAAATGTACACCGATGCATGTGATCTAATTCTTAATGTTTTCAGCTTTTTTACTTTTTAACATAATTTAATGGATATTAATTTGCATATGGCTTTTTTTTAAAAAAACAAACAACAACAACAACAATACATTTTATAAAAAATATGCTAAAATACACTCTAAGCAAAATGAACGTTGCATGAATTTGCTTCAAGCTAGAAAAAAAACTGTTGTAATTCTGGAATAATGATGTGGATAATAACAGCATACCTGCACTTACAATCTGAGGACTTATATTTCTGACTTGTAATTTTTTTTAAAGTACAATTTCAAGGTAAATTTGAAGAATTGAAGTAATTACCTGGTTGGGTCTTTGCTGGGAAATATGTGTATACATTCTCTTTTAAGAAAGGTCCTCTCAATCCATACTTTCTGTGCCTGGGAAGACAAAAAGAAACATAACAAAAGTGTTATGCAAAAGCCGTTTTTCGAAGAATCCAGAAGTTGTACTTGATATGCACAAAGACATGAGCATGGTGAAGGAGCTGTGGCACTAAAATCATGCATGCTCTGTCATTTCTCATGTTATTGCGCCACAGCTGATGCTGGTAAAATTGCCTCCATTGTTTGTTCAAGTTTCATAAGCAGCCAGTGAAAAGCACAAAAGTACTATTCCCCCACACTTTGTCAAATCCTGTTCTGATTGCTTTCTGATCTTTTTCCAGTTGCCGATCAAAAATAACCAGAGTTCAAAGCGAAGGTTCTCAGAGGGCTATTGTTGACGGTGGAAGCCCAATTAACACCGAATCAGGGGAAGCAAAGCTTTCCAAGAAATCACCAGGAAGTGGGGTTGAAAACAGAATTTGAACCCTTGACAGCATTATTATGTAAAAACACATTAAAAATCTGTTTAGACTTTACCAGTAAGCCTGAGGTCAGATGAGTAAGGATGAAAGACCTTATATAAACCTCACTGAAGTCTTGTGATGATCACAAGTAGCCATAACACAGAACAGTTACTGTTCTCGCCCTGTTTTTCTGCTCAAATGACCCCCTTTGAGAGCAGCTGGACCGCAAAACCACAGACTTTCCCGGAGTGTCTACTCGCCTCCGCTTTAAGAAAAAGGGAAACCTTTGCATTTATTTATTTTTGTTTTTTTGCCTGTGCAGATGTCATATGATCCAAACCAAAAATATACACGAATGCAAATAGATGCATGTATTACTTTTAATCTGTTTTTATTGCATGTATGTCATTTTCTATTATGACTGTTTTCCACCAGTAATTCTTCGTGGGGGTTTTTTAACGCTTGTTTTTCAGTTCAACACTACTACTGTATACATTTGGTATAAATTATTTAAAATTATACAAATACATAGATATCAGCCTTACATATATTATCTGCTGTTACTACAGTGCTCTTTCAAGAATGATGTTTTGGAGCAGCTTCAAAACAACTACTTTTTATTTAGCATGAGTTTTTGTAAAAAATGTTCCCATCTTTATTTCTCAGTGTCATCACCTAGACGTCCTGCAGTGCTGCCTGCTCACATTTACCTCATCTGAACTCACTTTTCACGGTCTGCAATTAATACAACATCGGCCGCTGCTTGGAAAAATCCTAATAATGCAACTAAATAAAGTTTTTAAAGGGTTTCGACTCACGTACAATCCTCTTGACGGAGCTTCAAGGTCCTAGTGCTGCTGGAAATTAGGGCTAGGGAGTGCAGGGGAGCCAGAGCTTTCTCCTGGTGCTGCACTCCCAGTGAAGTGGCCTCATTGAATCCCACAGGACATGAAACTTCTTCACTTTATGAGGGCCAGTTAATATGATGAGCATGTGAGCAGGGTCTTTGTTCACCCAAGTCTCATGACTCCAGTTCAAGGTAATCCTTTTGGGAGTCCCATGACCCTTTCTCCATGCCCAGAGGGTATTTTCATCATTCGCTTGAACAAGGCACAATAAATCTACTTTGATAACCGGCTCCTAATCTCCCAATTTGTGTAAAACTCCTTTCTTTGTGCTCGCTTCACAGTTTAGAAGAACTTCGCCAGTGTGAGACGATGGAGAAGAGCGACTAACCTAAAAGTACTGCAGCCTCGTTCAGAGGGTCCCCAACTTCTCGTTTGAAAATTTTCACCCCCTCCAAGTACTTTGATTTCAACCCAATTTGCATAATTGAGAGAATTGGATGCAGGCATTCTTTTGGAAGGCGCCTTGTTAAGACATGACTGGTCTCCAGTCGGGGGTCAGTCAGTGCTAATTGCAGTTAATCTTTATTTCCACCCACTATGTTTTTGTGGAGAGAAAGAAAAGGCAGCAGTCCAGATATTCAGTATTCCCTTAATCTTCCTGTTTAATGTCAGGTATGTTAATTTGATCTACATTTAAAAACACCCTTTTTTCATAAAAAAAGAGACTCCCAGTGCCCTTTTGTTATCATATTTATCCTCCTGTTTGGGTATTTAATAAAAACAGTCGTCAAGTTATAAAGGGATTGCAGATGCATTCCTAATAACTAGAGATGGAGCGAACTGGCACTAAGTAGCAGACGTCTGCTTAAAGCCTTTTTCATGTGAATGATTTGATAAGCACTCCTTTTATGGTTGAAGTGAGCAGTTTTAGCTCCAGTAAAAAAAAAAAACAGCAGAGGCTGGTGGTAGATGACAGAAAGACAAAGAGAGAATCCTAGCATCCCCCTCCAGTTTCCCACTTTTCTTCGTGCTCCAGTAAAAAACACACGTGGGCCAATGTTAATTATAGCCGGACAAAACAAAGCGCATTTCCAGAAGGGTTTGGCCAGTGTGACGCAGTTATTTCAGCTTACTTAAACTCATTAACCACAGCAATTAAAACCAAAATCCAGTCAGCAACCAGCTGGCTCGTTAAGAGCTGCCTTTGAGCACTTAACAAAGAAAAAAACAACAACAACAAAAAAAAACATTTTAAAAAACCCTTGAAGAATGAGATAATGCAGGATCCGATTGTGTCACACCAAGCAAATTAACAGGACTTAAGACAAGCCTGAGAACAATCAACAACATTCATTCCAACATGCAGACTTTGGAAAATTAGTGCTTAAAACAAAAGACAGCTATATGAGACGGAAATTTAAAAAAATATATTTATTATTAGCCGTACTGATGCAGTGTTTTCCTGTCAAACTTTGACCATGCTTAGCACTTTAATACAATGCATTGGACATCGGAGCAACAATGTGTATACAAAGGTCACATTCACAGTATACCATACATTCATTCCTTTTTATACTGGAATCACATGGTCCTGGTCTCCTGACCCACAGCTTAGCAACAACTTGACCACAGCTAATTTGTTCCAGTAAAGCTTTAATTACACTACGCAGTCCCAAAGGCTCATATAGAGAAGGTATAATGATGACTTTATATCTGTATGTGGATACCTGACTGGCAGCACATGTTTGGTTAAATTCTGTAGCTATATCAGTTGAAAATCAACGTGTCAGATATTCACAATATTGCGGTAACAATGGAATTCATACAACAAAAGCTTTGTGAGCACAAGTGAAAGAAAGGATTTTGGGTTCCTATAAGGAATGTGATGTTACCCGGGTTGAAGATCAAAGCAACTAATTGCTCCTCATTGGTATTGAATAGCTATGCTAGTTAGAGCTTGATGCATTGTGACAGGAAGAAAACCCATGTAGGCTCTGTTAACTGTCTAAAAAAAAGCGTTTTAGACTCATGGTAAACCACATGGGCTGAATATAAAGCTGCCTTTTACTTGTTTTTACTCGAGGAGAAAAGATATTTCGTCAAAGTGGCACACTCCACTTCCAGGGTCTGGATGGGCAAATTTGCATTAACTGTGCAGCAAACTGTTTTCAGTCAGCCCTGTTTGTAAATGCACTCTTTGTCCTCCTGAGTTGAAAAATCCAGTTAGCCATCACGAGTCCAACATGTCACTGATTATCCCCGAGATTTGAGGGAGTCATAAGACATGTTTTAAGGCTGCTGTTTTTCACTTTTTCCCTAAAGCAGTCTGACTGAAATAGAGACCAAAATCAAGGAATCGCAATAAAGTTAGGGCATCCTAAAAAACTAGCGACATCTGAAATCTTTCTGTTGTGAAAGTGAAGGAACTTACTCATTATGGCTACAACAGTTTAAGTAACGTAATAATTATCAATCACGCAACTAAAAAATAACCAGGTTACCCAACAATTTTAAGGATTACAAGGGTTCATTTATAAGCCTTACTCTACATACATAGCAGCCTCAACAGATGTTACAGGGATTCGACACCCTGATGAATTCATGATTTGAACTACTTACAAAGAAATGAGCTGAATGCAATTTCAGTTGTAGATGTATGTTAAGAGTAAATGATAACTTTTCAACTAAACAAAAGAGAAAAAAATTGTTGTCGTTTGAAATAAATGTGCATTTCTGTTTATTTGGGTCAAGTATGCCAAGTTTTTCATTGGCAACAATTTAGGGATTAACAGTCACCAAGCCAGTATCCACAGTGGATTGCACTATTGTGTGGATTATAAATATACCTGGGCCCCTAAGCAGTCCCTAACCTCATCACCAAGGCCAAAGAGCTCTGGGTTGACCAGTACAAAAGCTGCAATGGGCTAATGGATCACCAAGGCAAGGCAAGGCAAGGCAAGTTTATTTGTATAGCACAATTCAACAACAAGGTGATTCAAAGTGCTTTACAGAGACATTAGAAACAAAAACAAATAAAAAGCATGATTTAACACTGATTAAAACAAGCAAACAAACAAACTAATTAACAAACAAACAAAAACGTATATAAAATCAAAACAGATAAAATCAGAACAGTAGATAAAATCAGTAGTTAAATGTAAGTTTTGAAATTTAAGCTTAAAAGTGTGGATTTGGTGCTTTATTCAAATGCAGCTGAGAATAGGTGAGTCTTCAGCCTGGATTTAAATAAACTGAGTGTTTCAGCTGATCTGAGGCTTTCTGGGAGTTTGTTCCAGATATAAGGAGCATAAAAGCTGAATGCAGCTTCTCCGTGTCTGGTTCTGACTCTGGGAACTGATAAAAGACCAGATCCAGATGACCTGAGGGATCTGGAAGGTTCATACTGGGTCAGGAGGTCACTGATGTATTTTGGTCCTAAACCATTCAGAGCTTTATAGACCAGCATCAGAACTTTAAAGTCTATCCTCTGACGGACAGGCAGCCAGTGTAAAGACCTCAGAGCTGGACTGATGTGGTCCACTTTTTTGGTCTTAGTGAGGACTCGAGCAGCAGAGTTCTGAATGAGCTGTAGTTGTCTGACTGATTTTTTAGGTAGACCTGTAAAGATGCTGTTACAGTAATCAAGCCTACAAAAGATGAATGCATGGACTAGTTTTTCCAGGTCCTGTTGAGACATCAGATCTTTTATCCTTGAAATATTCTTGAGGTGATAGTAAGCTGACTTTGTTATTGTCTTAATGTGTTTTTTTAAGTTTAGGTCTGCATCCATCACTACACCCAAATTTCTCGCCTGGTTTGTGGACCACAGTCACCACCTTTGTTAGGAAATAAAACTTTTTGGAACAACTTCATTCAGAGTGTCTTAAGGGAAAAAATGCTGACTTTGACACCAAGAGCATCATCCCTACTGTCACACGTGGCAGTGAAAGCATTAAACTTTGGTGGTGTTTTCCCATCAGTAGTACAAGATAACTTTATTGCAGTTTATTGCATTTATTGCAACCTCATATACTCGAGCATTAGGAAAAGATCTGAAGAGAAGAGTGGTCGAATATATCTACAGAGACTGTGCTTGCCAACAACGGTTATTCCACCAAGTACTAAATCTTGTGCTCCAAGGAGATCAAATGCTTTCCGTCACTAAAATTCACATTATTTTGTAGCCATTATAGGATGATTTTGTCATTAAAATTTATCTTAGAGTTATTCTGAATTTATCAGCTGCCATATAAATTAAAAACTTTGTTTTTATGTGAGTGCTGTTTCTGTTGTTTCTGCATGTTTTTGCCTTGAGAGGGATGTATTCAAAGAATTTCTTTTTTGCTTTGACCATATCTTTTGTAATAGTCTTTTGGTGTGCGCTTAAATAAATGCCATTTAATTTCATCAGAGGCGAACAACTGAATGTGAAGGGTGGTTGGGTGACTCATACATCACAATCTCATATGAGGTGCAAACCCAGAGTGAATCTGGTAGGATATACAGATTCAGATTTTTACTGGTTGTTGCAGTTTTTATTACTAATGTTTAGTGTCTGAGTACAAACTCATCAAAAATTAGTCACCCCCGTTAACCTGCGGAGAATTCATGAATATTTCTTTTCAGTATTTTCTAGTGATTACTGTTTTTTATTTAACTAGACATAGATGGAGATGAATACTTTGCTAATTTCATCTAATTTATCAGGTAATATTTTGTGAACACATCTATCTAAATGTGTTCTCTGTTGGAGGTTTTCAACACACTTTACGTTTAAGGTGCTCTCTGGTGACTAGAGGCCAGTGTTCACCATGATTTCAGCTTTATGATATGATCAGCAATGATACTCAGGTAGGGTCTGGTATTTAAGTGATGCTCATTTGCTACTAAGGAGCCCTAAGTGTACCAAGAAATTATCCCCCACACCATTACACCACCACCACCAGCCGCAGCAGCCTGAACATCATGCTTTTATGTTGTTTAGACCAGACTCTGACCCTGCCATCTGAATGTTAAAACAGAAATCGAGACTCATCGGACTAGGCAACATCTTTTCAATCTTCTGTGGTCAGATTGTGAGAATTGTAGCTTCTTTTTCTATCCTTAGCTGAGCACTCAATAGTCTTGTGTGGCATCAACAACACATTGTTACCCAGAGAAAAGCTGCTCGATGGATAATTTCTCTTTTTAGGATCATTCTCTGTGAACCATAATGATGATTGTTTGGGAAAAATCCCCGTGAATCAGCAGTTTCTGAAATACCTAGACCAGCCTGTCTGGCACAACCATGCCACAATCAATGTAGTTATTTAATCCGACTTTCTCCTTCATTTAAATTTAAATTGAATAATATTTGTCCTTAAAAATTCTGTGCTCATAAGCCTACACAACAATAGTGCAAACTCTCTTAATTTGCAGTTCACATGCTCTTCTTCTGGGATATGTTGCTCAAATATTAGGAAGAGAAATGTATGAATAATTACATATTTTTGCTTTCAGGGTCTTTTAAATACTTTTTTTAAAGACTTTACAAAGATATAAAAGTCAGTGGTTATCAAAGCTGGGTCATTAGGATTGAACACTGTACTGGAGAATGTGGCTGCAGTTTTAAATAGCATTCAACTTTTAAAGGCTGGTATATGAGCAGCAGTTCTTAGAGACTTTATGCTAAAGAGAAAACCTCTAAAATGATTGGACGAGAAGGGCTGAGGCTAGATGACAGTGTTGGCACCATGTTGCATATCCTTAAAGTGATGACTTGAGTAATCATACAGTTTGTGTTTGCAAAAAGTTTGCTAAAAAGCTAAGATAAACTTCCTTTTCTTGAGAACAACATCATTTATAAAAGTTCCATTAATAATAGATTACAATTCAATTTTTAAAAATCCTTTAAAACATTTTTTTAATCCTAATTGAAATCCCAGAGTGGAAAAAAGTCTGAAAGGTAATAAAAATTAATAGCTGTTGAATGTGACATTGATGCCTGCACACTTCATCTTACCTTCTGCGAGCCAGATGTGCTGCGTTTGAGGGAGGATCTTTTAAAGGTGCCAGTGTCCATGCTGAAGAGTTAACTCAAGAGAGGAACCCTTGGAAAGTGGCGACAGGTCAGGGGACGCCAGCAACGTCGACATTAGAGACAGACAGAAACACTCAAGAGCCACTACAGCACCAGGTGATGGCACCAAGCCCTGGATTTACACTTTAAAACTATTTTGCTTCACCTTCAGTAAAGGTTTCAATGCTTCTCTCTCCTCTATGCGGCTTATTCCCGACTGACAAGACAGAGATCCCTGCCAGGGATATAAATCACTCGATGACACACTTGACACATAGACCCTTTTCCACTGCCGAACATCCCATAATCAGGCTTAATGCAGCCAGCTCTTACGAAGCCTCAGAGTCTAATGGATAGAGATTTAATAAATGGTTATTGAAGGTAAATCTACTTTGGCACACCACAACCCCCCAAAAAGGCTTAGAGAGAGATCGTGCAAGCTGTGAAGCTAAAGTTAGCCAACAGAAAGCCAAAAGATATCCCACCAGATGAGATCTGACAAGGGAGACAAGAGGGTCCCATCAGGGTGCAAAAACATAGGTATGCATAAGCAGAGAGTACTTAGACTCATTAAGAAATAATAAACAGAAGGAAGGATAAAAATTCTTGAGTGTTTTTTATATTTGGGGATCTGAATAAAACAACACATTTAATCTCTCCGCATCTTACATTTAGGTTTTCCCACCACATTGAGTAGTTGTGCAACACATGTGGAGCAGCTTGTTTCATAGTATTAGTAAGAGTTTGACCTCTTATATAAGACTTTAAAAATTAATGGAAATTCAAACTATCACTTGTCAGCACTATAAAAAACACTGCATTTAGCTTACCCCGAGCAAATATTTTTTGGGTATTCATTAAAATGGCTAAAAATATGGACAACAAAATCAAAAGCCTTTAGGTCTTATACAGAATCCAACACTTCAACACCTGCTCTGCTGATGTAATGTGATGATGACTTGTAATGTTTGTTGTCTGCACTTTTTTTTGTAGCAAAAACAAAACAAAAAAAGTCGACTTTGTTATAGATGGTCTGAAAATCAAACCCAAGAGAAACCAGTTTAGGAGCATGAATTTCATGTCCAGCACCTCCCTCTGCTGGACACTAAATAGAACAGTTTTAAGGGTGATAAATAAGTAAAGGATTACCAAGCTCACCAAGATTTGAAACTGGCAAGAAATGATGCACACAGGCTGGATGTAACAGCCTGTGTAACTCACTGTTTGCCTTACAGTAAAATAAGCTGTTAATGTAAAAAACAACAACAACAAAAAAAAAACAACAGCCCTGTCACAGTGAAGTGCCCTCCCACAGAAACACATTGCAACACAGGAAACTGCAACAAGTGTGAGTGAAGTAATGAGCTACCTAATCAGCTAATCCAAAGTATGCACTCACCAAGCATCTGCTTTACTCTTACAACTATGAGCTTTGGGAAACAACTGTACCTTGCGGTGTCAGTGAAGACAGCTGGATGACTTCATCAGGTCATAATCTCAAACAATAAACATGAACCTTGAATGAATGGTTACTTTTTCTCTGCTCGACTCCAGCCATGTGTCTAGGTGCTGTCTGCCTCTTAGAATGGATTATGTGTAATTTCTCCTTGTAAGCAGACACAAATGAGCTTTATCTTCTCCTGGTGGCTTTGTATTGGCCAGTGTGGGGAGATTATTTGTCTCCGAGAGAAGTTATAGCACTGAATGGAGCAGAAGAAAGAAGGAATGATGAAAGACCCCAAACCAGATATATTACTTAGACATGCGAGTGATGTCAGACAGAACTCCAAATAAACAACTAATTTTGATATCTGGGATTCTTTAAATTGATTTTTTAAACTATTAGTTTCTTTAAATCAGAGGTTCCCTAAACATACTTGCAAGCTTTTACAAAACCTAACAGAAAAATTTCATCTTTAATAATAAGACTCTTCCACT